GAAGCCGGGCAATGCCCCGCCATGGAGTATCTCCCGGCCAGGGCCACCGCAGGTCCGGCCCGGAGCAGGAATCGGACCGGACCCGAGGGTCCCCCAGACTGAGGCTTCTGTGGATGGGCCTGCCTCTGATTCTGGCGTTGGTTCTCTGGGCCCCGGCCGGGGCCCACCCTCTTCCCGTCCAAAGCCAACACGTCGGTCGCTTAGTGCCCCAGCTCCGTGACGCCTTTGGGTGGTGGAACCTCACCTGCCCAGTTTGCAAAAGCTTGTTCACCGCTATCGACTTTGGGCTGAAGGTGAGCGCTTAAAGGGCCTGCAGTGGAGCAGCCAAGGGAGCGCTGGCGGGGGCGGGGGCGGGGAGTGGATGGGCTGGGGCTGGGGTCATGAAGAGCATCCCTGACGAAGAGGCTGGAGGATACTAGCCTTTACCGGATTTGCTCTCCTTTAGGGACACCCATGTCTACACGCCACCACTACCTCCATTGTGACCGTGTGAAGTAAGGAAAGAGCTCAAATTATATGCCGGGCACTGTGCTAGCCATTTTATACAGGTCAAGTCAAGTCTGTGAGGTGTTTTCATTACAGTATCTCCATTTGCCAAATGAAGAGCATCTGGGAGAGGTGAAGTAACTTCACCGAGGGCACATAGCTGGCGACAAGGCTGGGACTCCTTTCCTGGTATATCTGACTCTGAATCCCCCTGTGCCTTACATTTGGCATCGCTAATCCGGAGCACCATGCCTGTACTAGCTGCTCAGAAGGGACTTGAATTCAGAAAGATCCAAGGGTATGGGAGTAGATGGGGCTGCCCTGACCCTGATGGGATGATGAATGCTGGTTGGTAGGTGAGTTTTGCAGGTCTCCCCAGGGAACCTGCCTTTGTGTGTGTCCCCATACTCTGGACAGCTATATTGCCCAGCCCGAATTTCAAGGCACTCTGCAGACACTGACTGAGGAAGCCAGCCAGGCAAGCAAAAGGCCTGAAATGCCACTGCCTACTGAGCTGAAGAGGAAGTACTGGCCTGGTGCTGCCTGAGTCACAGGGCAATATCTGTGGGAGTCAGGGGGTGCTCTGAGGTCTCTTCACCACAGTGGCATTGAGTCTGGCTTGGCCCCAGTTTGGATATGAAGGCACAGATGGTGGTAGCCAGGGGTTGGCCTGGTCCCTGTGCTGTCTCTGACCTCTCATCACTGGTTCTTCCCACCACAGAAGGAGTCCGGTGTGGAGTGGGTGGGCTCCATAGCCACCAAGCTCTGCAAACTGCTGAAGATAGCACCACCCGCTGTGTGCCAGTCAACTGTCCAGCTCTTTGAAGATGATGTGGTGGAGGTGTGGACACGCTCAGTGCTGAGCCCATCTGAGGCCTGTGGTCTGCTCCTGGGCTCCACTTGTGGGCACTGGGACGTCTTCTCATCTTGGAACATCTCTTTGCCAGCTGTACCAAAGCCGGCCCCACAACCACCCAAGCCCCCGGCCCCAGGCGCCCCTGTCAGCCGCATCCTCTTTCTCACTGACCTGCACTGGGATCATGACTACCTGGAGGGCACAGATCCTGACTGTGAGAACCCACTGTGTTGCCGCCAGGATTCTGGCCTGCCACCTGCCTCCCGCCCAGGTGCTGGATACTGGGGCGAGTACAGCAAGTGTGACCTGCCCCTGCGGACCCTGGAGAGCCTGTTGAGCGGGCTGGGCCCTGCCGGCCCCTTTGATATGGTGTACTGGACAGGAGACATCCCCGCCCACAATATCTGGCACCAATCACGTCAGGACCAGCTTCGGGCCCTGACCACTGTCACAGCCCTTGTGAAGAAGTTCTTGGGGCCAGTGCCTGTGTACCCTGCTGTGGGCAACCATGAGAGCACACCTGTCAATGGCTTCCCTCCCCCCTTCATAGAGGGCAATCACTCTTCCAGCTGGCTCTATGAAGCAATGGCCAAGGCATGGGAGTCCTGGCTCCCTCCTGAAGCCCTTCACACCCTCAGGTAGTTGAGGTCCATGGAAACCCAGGAAGGGAAAAGAAAGTGGATAATAGTGAAGGGAGCAGGGGACCTGGGCATACCTGTGACTCTTCTAGCATGAGTCCTCAGCTCTCTTCACTGGCTCTGACCCCTTACTCCACCTCTGCCCTTATGTCTGTCCAGCCACTCTCCCTCAGGATTGACAGCATACTTTCTCCATGCTAGTCTGTGTCTGTTCATGTTGGCCCTCTAAAACACCTCCCCTCCCCCTGCAACTTTAACATCCCAACTTTCCAGGTCCAGATCATACTCCTTCTGAATGGCCCTTGCTTCCCATTATAGTTCTCTTTTATCTCTGAGGCCTGGAGCCCTTAGCTTTCTGAGCCATTTGCCCAGTCATATGGACCCTATAATCGGTGCTGTTTGGTTTTCTGCTGGAATGTGAGCCCCTTGGTAGGGATGATGTCCCGTATGCCTCTGCCCTCCACCCAAATGCTTAGTATAGGACTGTGAGCACAGGACCAGGATTATGAATGAGTGCTGACTGTTTGTGTTCACTTTGTTTCAGAATTGGGGGGTTCTATGCCCTTTCCCCACGCCCTGGCCTCCGCCTCATCTCTCTCAATATGAATTTTTGTTCCCGTGAGAACTTCTGGCTCTTGATCAACTCCACAGATCCTGCTGGACAGCTCCAGTGGCTGGTAGGAGAGCTTCAGGCAGCTGAGGATCGAGGAGACAAGGTGAGGGAAAGTGGTGAGAACATGGTGGATAGGTGCTCCATGGGGGTGGCGGGGAGAAGCAGGCCCTTTATGACCATACTCCTATCTGGAGCCAGAGCATCTGTGAGCAGAGAAGCCTGGTTTTCTGGAGTTCCAACAATAGGATTCCCTAGGAGTTCAGCTCCTGGTCCCCCTTAGGAGCTCTCATTCACTCCCCGTGTCTGGCCAGCTGTAACAGCTGTTGTAAGAGTGATGAGTACCAACTCTCCTGGCCAGGGCTGCCTGGACCCCTCCTTGTCCTCATAACCTTCCTTCCCCTCCCCCCAAATTTCAAGTTCTAATTGGCCTTATTGAACAATTGATGAATCAAGCAGCATTCCATCTAGCAAATAGAGGGGCATTCTCCCTGATAACCTCCCTTAACTCTCCCTGCAGGTACATATAATTGGCCACATCCCCCCAGGGCACTGCTTGAAAAGCTGGAGCTGGAATTATTATCGAATTGTAGCCAGGTAGGAGGGAAGTGGGGAGAAGAGGGGTAGATGAAGAGTCTGAAGTTCATTTGAAAACTCCTTTGGGTATTTTATCATTCCTGGTGCCCCTTTGGGTAGAGAGGCTACTTACTTCAATGTGTGGAGAAAGAAAGCATCCCATCTCCCCAGATTTCTTCCCTGTCCCTAAAACCTTCTGAATCTAATTAGTGTCTTCTGGCCAGGTATGAGAACACCTTGGCTGGTCAGTTCTTTGGCCACACCCACGTGGATGAGTTTGAGGTATTCTATGATGAGGAGACCCTGAGCCGGCCACTGTCCGTAGCCTTCCTGGCACCCAGTGCCACCACCTACATCGGCCTTAATCCTGGTGAGTGATGTGGGAGTTGTTGAGATAGAGGAAGCAGAAACAGAGTTGGGGCCATGGCTGGCAAGGGGCAGGCGGGACATATGACCTCTCCCTGGAGTTGCCTTGGTTCCTTCCCTTTCCAGTCAGCCCTCCCTCCTTGCAGGTTACCGGGTCTACCAAATAGATGGCAACTATCCGGGGAGCTCTCATGTGGTCCTAGATCATGAGACCTACATCCTGAACCTGACACAGGCTAATGAGCCAGGAGCCATACCACACTGGCAGCGTCTCTATAGAGCTCGAGAAACCTACGGATTGCCCAATGCACTGCCTGCCGCCTGGCATGATCTGGTGTACCGCATGCGGGGTGACACACAACTTTTCCAGACCTTCTGGTTTCTCTACCATAAGGGCCACCCCCCCTCAGAGCCTTGTGGCATGCCCTGCCGCCTGACTACACTGTGCGCCCAGCTCTCAGCTCGCTCAGATAGCCCTGCTCTATGTCGCCATCTGGTGCCAGATGGAAGCCTCCCTGATGTCCAGAGCCTGCAGCCAAGGCCATCTTTCTGCTAGTACCCCCATGGCCCAGATTTGTGAAAGTGCAAATGTGAGGAAAGCTGCAAAAACTCCAGAGGACAGCTGTGGTAAGAAGAGCATCTGGTGGAAAACCCTATCCCTGAGCCCCAAGCACACCGGGGAAACAGGACCTTCTTTCATGGAGCTGGTTTGGCAAGATACAGGAGAGAGGGTGGCTGCTCTGTGCCCAGCATCTCAGCTGCCCTGGGACTGCTGCCTTTCATAACTATGGAGCAAAGGTCTAAGTTGGTCCTGCCGCAGCAGACCACACAGGAGCTCTCACCCCAGGCCTGTGCTGGCCAGCCAGGAACCCTGGACTGCTGCTGCCTGGTTGTCAGGCCGTTAAAATAAAGATAAGAGACTTGGACTCCAGACCCCTCTGCAAGTGTCCCACTTTCTTTTTTTCAAGGAGGAAGGGGAAGGGGGCTTTGGGAATATAATCCTAACTGAGGGATCAGGGTACTGGGGGTGATGGTATGGTGCAGGCACAGGAAGGCACACAGCTTAGCAGGGCAGACAGACTTTATTAGTGATATCAGTACAGCAGAGGTGCCCATGGAACGGTGGGGAGGGGACCCATGCCTGGACCAGTCCCCCTTCTGCCCCTGCCAGACCCTACCAAGATAGGGCCTGGCCTAGACCAGTTCCTCCTGCTCCACCTGAAACATGGGGGTGGAGAGCCTGGGGCTGGCCTTGCTTCTTGCTCCTCTTATCAATCCGATATTGTCATTTCCCTGAAGGGATTAGGTCTCTCTCTCCCCAGCCCCTAGGCAGGGAATCCCAGCTACTAGGGAGGGGCAGCTTTGAGGGGGCCTGAGGCCTAACAATAGCCTCTAGGGCCCCTCCCTGCCCCATACCCTTGAGTTCCCTGGGGCCCAATGCAAGCAGGTGGAGGGAGGACTGAGGACTTCAGGGGGTATGGGCCCCCAGGCGTTTGGGCTTGAGGGAACCCCACAGCGACTGAACGCCCCTGCGGACAGTCCACCCTACACGGCGGGCAACGGACTCTGCAGGGGGTGCCGGGAGGCAGGAGGTGGAGGCCTGGGAGCGTGCATCCAGACACTTCTGGTAGCGGAGCTGCAAAGAGGCAGGTGCGGCAGTCACTCTCCAGCCTGCCCCATGTGGGGTGGGCATCACCACTCCATCACCCTACCCACTTACCATGCAGGCAGCCTGCACAGCCTCTGAGAGGCTGGCAGCATTAGGCTCGCACCAGAACATGTGGCAACAGAAGGAGGCTGGGCCGGCAGCCATGATGAATGCAAATGTGTGGACATCTCTGCCCACAGCCAGGAAGGAGAGGAAACGCACCCGACATTCCCCCAGCACTGCTTCCGTCTGGAGGGAGGGAGCCCAGTTAGAAAGGAACAGCCCAACCCTCTCTTCCACTGAGCACATCCACCTTACTGGCAGCTCTTCCCCCACCACCCCAGGCTCCCCTCCGTGGCTAGGCACAGCCATGCCTTCTCCCATCCCAGTCTTTACCTGCTGATGCAAGATGGTAAGGGTAGCAGGGGCCACGCTGACATGACTTGGGGTCCACTGCTCACGGCTACTAGAGGACAGGACTGACTCCAGGGCCCCATTTATCACATCTACCCCTGGAAGATATGGACACAAACATGTTACCACTAGGGGTGGGGAGAGTTTACCCCAGGGCCTTTGCTCCATCCCCATTTCACCAGTTTACAGCCCTGTACAATGCTGCACAGGTATCCTTTCCTTGGTACCCTCTTCCTTGGCTTCAGTAATTTAGCACTTTTCTGGTTTCTTCAATATTGAATCCTAGGCTTGGTTTTCTTCACCTGATTCTGACTCTTCCTTCAGCCTCCTAAATGAGCTGATCCCCCCAAAGCTCTGACCTCCCCACATCTTGGCTCTCAGTGTTCACCCACATTCAGACATTCAATTACGTCACACTACAACTCTCAAACCAGCCCCTAAAGGCCACTCCTCTCCCAAGACCCAAACTTTGGTTTGTTTTGTATCCACTTGAGGTAAGTTGACTTTTGTGTCCCACCATGCTACATCATTATAGTGCACAATTGCATTTACACCTATGACAATCTCCCAATTGGTTCTTTTATTGCCATTTTACAGATAAGGAAACTGATGCTTAAAGTTCCCTTCTTTATATTCCTAGTTTCCTTCCTTTCAGAAGGAATGTCAAATCTTAGTTGGATTCAGTAATTTCTATAATGTGCTCAAAGGAAGTAATGCAAGATTCCTGGTTTTTTAGATCAATCAACTTCCTCTGTAGCACAGTGGTTTCCTCCATCTCAAACTGTTATTCAACACTTCACTCCTGCATCCCACTTTTGCCTGCACTCAGCAGAAAACCATGGCAGGAGAAGCGCATAGCATGGTGCTGCATGGGTGCTGGTCCCTGCACTACTCATGAACAGGCAGTGTGATCTACTGGTCTTTACCTTCGCAGCTAAAAGGTTAGAATAAGCAGTGCCTATGTGGAGGCATGCAGCCCTGTGGGCCACTCCTGGGCCCTCTTGCCCCTCTCAGTGCCTCCGGGCTCCCAAAGGAGCAGACTACATGGACCCTCTTTGGGCAGAGGACAAGGAAGAGGACAAATGTCTTCCTCGAAAGTCCTCCCTCATCTTGGCCTTGCTCATCTTAACCTCTGACTGGATCAAGGCCAAACTCCTCTCCCAAGCATGCAGGTCCTCCAAAAACTGGCCTCATCTGAGCTGTCAAGCCTTATATTTTACTGCTCCCGGAGCTTCAAATGATTTATGTAGCATTTATTAACATCTAGTCCTGGCAAATGCCCTACTAGGCAGATGGAGAATGCAGAGTAAGAGAAGAGGATGCCCTCGAGGGACACAGGCTGCAACTGTGGAGTACCCTTTCCCTCTTGACTGAGAAACTCCCGATACTCATCCTTTGGGGTTCATCCAAGTCCCGCCCAGAAGCCTTCCCTGCTGCAAGGAAGAGAGAGGATGTTGCAGGAACAACTCTTAGCACATCTGGTAACTGCTAGAAAACCTTTCTCCACACTGGGCTGTGACCATCTCAAGAACAGAAGCCAAGTTTAATTCATCCCCATGTCCCCAACCCTAGCACAGGGCTTATATACTGAAGAAATTCCAGATGTACGAGCAAGTCACCCTGAAGGCAACATGGGCAAATGCATCCAAACTGGCATAACCGAGGAACCTAGAAGCCCACAGAACGGTGACGACACAGGCAGTCCTGAGTGGGTCAGATCCGACTGCCAAGGGCTGTGGTGTTTTCGACATTTATACCACTCAATGGAAACTCCTGAAGACCATGAGTGTGGACAAGATATCGAAGTCAAACAGCTTAACAAGCTCATGGGGCTGTGGGGATGGGGCCTGGCCTCAGAGGAGGGGGAGGATCAGCGTGGAGGGGGGGAAAGTAGTGGAGCAAGTGCCCTAGAAAGTCTGCCATATTTGGTAACAACTCAGGAGTGAAACCTACACCCTGAACCCCAGCCCTGCATTCCCAATACCCCTTATCCTACTGTGCATTTTTTTTTCCAGATCAATTGTTGCCTTCCAACATAGTATGTAATTTTGTTATTGCCTCTCTCTCCTGGCTAGAATGTCAGCTACCTGAAGGCAGTAGTCTGTCAGTTTTGTTCATTCATGTATACCAAGAACCTAGAATAGTGTCTGGCACAAATCAGGCATTCAATACTTATTCATTGAATAAATGAATGATTGAGTGACTATTGCAGCTTTAGGAGGGGCCAATGCTAAACTCCTAGAGGTTACAAAGGGAGCATAAGACAAAGCAAGAAGTGAGGTTAGGGACTCAACAGAGCAGACCCATCAAGGTGACAGGCAGCAGAGGAGCGTCAAGGATTGCAGATGCTTGCTTCATCATTATGAGAACCTATGTAAGGTGGCAGAAAGACAAGAGAGTAGGGGTAGTAACCGGAAGAGGCAATGAGGGTTTGAAAGTTGAGGGTGAAAGGCAAAAAGAAACGAAAGCAAAGGTGAAGAGGTCAGCCAAGCTTCCTTCCTGCTCCCTGAACATGATTTTCTCACCTCCAGCTCCATGTCTGTGGCAGTACCATTCAACCTAACTGGAATACCAATTCCCCGCTGCAAATCCGGGCCTTCTTCCAAACCCCACCTCAATCCCCATCCTTTCCAAGAAGGGTTTCTTCATTGGATATAAGATGCTGGTCATTAAAGTCAGCATTGTTTGAGGGGAAGAGCAGAGCATTGAAGATGACCAGGTTTGAGTCCTAGGTCTACCATCTCCTGGCCATGTCATTTGAGGCAAATCTCATTCATTCTTTGATTTATCCATTCACCAAACACTTTTGAGTTCTTCCTAAGTATCTTTTGATGTGACACCTGACCACATCTTGAAGCAGTCTCTTTTTTTCCTCTGGCCTCTCTCCTGCTGCTCTCACTATCCTTGTCAATTTCATCCTCCTGCACTGTCCATTAAATGCTGGAGGACCTAAAAGCTAAGCCTAGCCTCATTTCTCTTTTCACTGTGGGTTGCCTACTTTCGGGGGTCAGTCTTCTCTACACTCATGGCTTTGATAACCTCTATAACCCAATAATGCCACATTTGAATCTGCAACCCAGACCTCTCCTCTGTCAATTCAGCTGCCAACCTGAGTTTGCCACTCAGCTTCCCCAAGGCACATCAAAATTGGCATGTCCAAAACTGAACTCCAATCTCTATACCAAAACTGGCCTCTTCCAAAGTCTGCTACCTTTAGAGAATGACATCACCATCCAGTTAGTTCCCAAAGCCAGGAAGTCAGGAGTCAGCCTGAATGCTTCTGTCCCTTGTCCCACCTTCAGTCAATCACCAAGATATTTGATTTTAATTGTCTAAACATCTCTTGAATCTGCACACTCTTCTTCAGCTCCACCACAGTCCACAATACTCTTCTTACCAGCCATGACTACTCCCAAGACCCTCCCAACTGAGTTCTTCACGCCCACTTCCACCTGCTAAACATCTTTCTCCATGGCATAGCCAAAGCAAGCTTTTACAACATTCTAATCTGATTATGCCAAGTGCCTCCTGAAAACTCTTCTATAGCTCCTTGCTGTTCTTAGGATGAAGATAAATCATTAACATGGCCTATGGGGTCCCACAGTGTCTGACTGCTACCCAGCTCCCAGCGTCATCTGGCACCAATCATCTTCTCTCAATGCCTTTGAAGTACCAAAATGCCTTCCACTATGGGTCCTCCCCTACACTGTTCATTCTGCCTGGAATGATCTTCCCCTGCTTTATTCTCATCTCTATCCCATTTTGCCACATTAGCTCCTATTCATTTTTTGGTCTTAGTTCAAATGTCACTTTCTCAAGAAAGTCTTTTTTGACATTCTAAACAAAATGAAGTTCCTCTGTTACAAGTTTTATAGCACCTTGCTACTTTCTTTCAATGAATGTTCATTTGTAATTACACATTTATTATTAATATGATTATTTGATTAATTCCTTTTTTTTTTTTCTGCTGTAACCTCCATGAAAGCTGTGGCCATTGTTCTCCCAGGACCTAGCACATGGTAGGCTTTATATGTATTTGTTAGCCAAATGAACAAATAAATAACAGGTACTGTGAAAGCACTGGAAATATAAGTGAGAACCAGATTTCTACTCTCAGTCCCCTTATCTACAAAATGGGTATAGCCAAAATCCCAACTTCATAAGATCATCAAAATTTAAATGACAAAGGGGCACCTGGGTGGCTCAGTCGGTTAAGCATCCGACTTAGGCTCAGGTCATGATCTCATAGTTCACGAGTTCAAGCCCCGCAGCAGGCTCTGTGCTGACAGCTCAGAGCCGGAGCTTACTGCAGATTGTGTGTCTCCCTTGCTCTCTGCTTCTCCCCCACTCGCACTCTGTGTGTCTCTCTCTCAAAAAAATAAACATTAAAAAAATAAAAATAAAATTTAAATGACATATATAGAAATACTTCACAAACAATAAAGCATCTCACAATTATGCTCACTGCTTCCTCTCTAGGTGCTCACAGCTCATAGTGCTGTAATACCAAACCCAGCTCCCAGCTGCTACTTGGTGTTTCCAGTCATCTAAGACCTACCTCCCAACCCAATCAAAGTTTTTCCACGGGATGCAAGAGTTGGTCTCCCTTGCCTAGTTCATTGGTTCACACTCCATAAAGGCATGCCAATTGCTGCTATAGGCAGGACACAGAGTGCAGATGGGACAGAGGTACAGGAGGTGTACCTTTAAAGGGCAAGGTGACATCAAGCATGAGGAAGGTCTGATAAAAGAGGTATTGGGAGGCAGAAGGTGGGAGCATTGCTTTGGGATCAGTGTTGGTGGTCCCTAGGTAAAGAACACACATACCAACAGGTTTAGCAACAGGCACGTTCCCCAGGTAATAGACTTGGAACTTTTGTACCAACTCATTCTTGGGTGCTGGGAATTCCACTGTGGAAAAGAAAAGGAGGATCAACTGTGGTGGCAGGTCTTGCTCACCCCCCAGTCCCCACCATGAGGGCATAAGCTGGACATGCACCCAGCCAAGTCCTCACCTCCACCCCTTCCCCATCTGCCTTTAACCAGAGTCCCTTCACTTATTTGCTCCAAAGAATTCAGTCTCCATGTGCCCATTTTTTATCACGTCCATGTAGTAGCACATGCCTTTTCTTGAGTCACCGCACCTTTGCTAACACAGATGAGCTGGATCTGGAAGAGTTGTGTCACTGACCTTGGAAAGGGACGTCCACAAGTTTAGAGTGGTCCAGGGAGAGTCCATTTACCAAGCAGCGGGCATTACGCCGTTCGGCCATGATCTGAGGAAGGGAGAAGCGGAGGGGAGGAGCGAGGGAGAATCCATTAGGGCTTCGTTGCCCTGGAGCCCCCCCACCCCAACTCAGTGACCCCACCCACATCCTTGTAGAGCAAAGGTGGCAGCTAGTCCAAGGAGTGGAGGGGGCCGTGCCTTAGAGCAGATCTCATGCAGGCTGGTGGCGATGTTCTTGGCAGGTGCCTCACAGCGAAACACGTGGCACTTGAGCATCTGGGTCAGTTTATCACGAGCTACGTAGGCAAAGTCCCTGTTGGGGGAGGGGCACCTCAGTGTCTCCCAGTGCCATCCAGTGCGAGGCATCATCCCTACAAACCCACACCCTCCCTGTCCATCGCAGCTCCTCAGGGCTTCCAGCCTCAGGATGCTGTCCTGTGGGTGCTGCCTTCTGGCTGATGGGTAGACAGGCAAGCATGCTGAGGAGGGGAAAATGGGCGAGCACAGCGGGCAGGAAGGGGCAGGGCAGAATAGGGGACCTCAGGTGCTTTGAGGCGTCTGGTCCAGGTGTGGGAGGAGGAACAGGAAGGTAAATTAGGCATAAGTACCTCTCTCTGGGTCCGGCAGCACAAGAGAGGCAAAGAATAAAGTTAGGGAGGAGAGCCCCCACTCTGACTGATGGATGAGTCCCCGCCCTAGGATCCCAGGCCCAGCTCCCACCTTCCACTGTCCCGCCCGACGCCCCACACGCGAATGCTGACAATGGGCTGGGCATGCAGCAGGGCCTGAGTCTGTGGCTCCACCAGCTTTAGTGTCTCGTCCTCCAGCTGTAGCAGTAGGTCCTTTCCCTGTGGGCCCAGAGAGCAAGCACTCAGTGGAGCCCCAGCTGGGGAGGTGCTGATCTCTGCCACCTCCAGCTCAGGGCACCCCCAACCTTGGTGTTGGACCACCCACCGTGCAAGCCTCACTCTAGTAGAGGTCACATCTGTCATCTCTTATGTGACTCCTTTTAACATCCAGTCACTGTTAGAAACCATCTCCCAAGGCCCCAACCTGGGATCACACACCCATGTCACAGGGCTGTCACTTGGGGGGCTGACACCTCCATCACCCCGCCGTTGCTCAGGCAGCCCAGCTCTCCTCTCCCTCACAGCTCCCTTCCCTTCTCCACTGTACCACACCTGCCAGTTCAGCCCTCACCTCCCCCCAGCCCCCAGACATGGGGTCGTGCAGATTGTTTTTGTGGTAGGAAAGCTGACGGATGCAGTTGTTGACTGCCACACTGCTGCGTCCAGGGGCCAGCTCCTCCTCGGTCATCTCCACCCAGCCTAGGGAGCGCACGGCGAAACACTGCCAGACACAGAAGAGGGGGTGGGAGGTAGAGGGTCTGAGCTAGAACTGGAGGACCCCCAACATGGGACACTCTCCTGCTGAGAGCAGAGGAGTTCCTGACTCAGAACATGGCATCTGGGAGGGTATGTTGAGCTCCCCAAACAGGATATGGTTGGTGGGAGGGGTGCTGGTCTCAGAGGAGACCGCTGCTAGTACAAGGAAGCATCTGAGCCAAGCCTGGATGGACCCCCCACCCCACCCCCGCCAAGCCACTGGGCTGGTTGAGTGGCTTGCCTCTCAACACTGACATGCCTCTGGTCCAGACACAGGGGTCTGTGCTAAGACTGGAGGAGCTCCTAACTCAGGACCTGGAAAGCTTACTGAGACCAGAGATACTCCCAGAACATGACATGAGGAGGTCTCCCACACACACAGGAGCTCCAGCCTGAGGAATGGGCATTGGTCTTGAACGAACCTTGATCCCTGGGTTGGCATTCCGTGGAGGCAGCTTCTCCTCCTCTTGGGGTAATGGCTCTGGGCTGGAGGAAGATGGTAACACTTAGTATGGATCACCAAACAGGGAACTGTCCCAAGGCCTCTCCCAGAGAGATCCATCCCCCAGCTAGCCCACTGTGTTATGCCTTCCCACTCACCTGAGGCTCTGAGCTGGGAAGGACAATGTCCCCTCCTCAGGGTCCTTCAGCCCCAAATCCATCGGGGCCTCCTCACTGGGTTCATCCTTGGGAAGGGGTGAGAGGAGTCAGGACCAAAATGATGCCCCCTCTCCAGTTCCCCCATTATAAAGCAGGTCCCCTCACCTTCCAAAATTCTCCATCCTCAAAGCCTTCTCCATGGGCAAAGCCTGTCCAAGTGAGCTAGGAAGAGGGATGGGAGCAATGAATGGGTGGCTCATCTTGCCCCAGCAGCACCACCACTCCATCCCTGGACAAAAAACCTGTGAGCTCACCTGAGACTCCTCTTGGGGGCTGTTCCCCTGTGAAGGAGAGGCCCGGCCCGGGGGCTCCCACTGGGTGGTCCCTGTTGGGATGTGCCAGTAGTAGGTCCCTGAGGTATCCTGGACCCTCATCCATCCAGCCGGCAGGTCGGAATCCGTCTCGAAGGCGTTGGGGTTCCAGAAGGAATCTGCCGGGTGGGGGGGTGCTGATGAGGGTGTGCCCACCCAACAAGCAGTGGGTACTTATGCCCAGTCCCCTCACTGACACTCCACTGTACAGAGGGAGGGATGGGGGGAGGGCTCCAGCACAAGGTTCCTGCTTCCTCCTAGAGCCTGCAGTCTGGAATAACAACATGGGGGACCACCCGCAGGGGACATGACTCAGGTCTCCCCCTGGACCCTGCGCCTAGCTAATGTGGCTACATAGAGGGAAGGAGGAAGGCAGAGAGAAGGAGGGAGGTTGGGTGACCCCAACTGACCTCCTATCATACATACCCATATCTCAGGTGCACACACATATCAGCTCCTGCACACACATGTGCACTCAGGCACACAACACATACAAGCCCTACTACACACCTGTGCAGCCACAGAAACACAGAAACACAAGGGTGTGCACACATAGAAAATGCCAATATAGACGGCACGTATCAAAGTCAGGGGCACCCACATGTGCAAGGGCAAAAACATACATACACACACCAACTCCAGCCATACACTAATGCCGACACCATACACAGAGGTGTGCACACACACAGTTATATATATCAGCTCCCACCACATGTGCGCAGAGACCACACCCACAACAACCCCCAACATGTGTGGGTACCACACAAATAGTGAGTGCACACTCAACCTCTGCCACATGTGTGCAGATACCACAGACACTCACACCCAGACCCTTTACCACACACAGACGCAGGCAAATATTTCATGCACATGCACACATACCTGTGACATACACTCTTCGTCCCCTAGCAGAGCCACACCACTCCAGCTCTGTGGCCCAGCTTATGCCTCCTCTGCCTCTCCTCCCACCCAGCCCCACCCCACATCATGCCCAGACCCATGCCACCCCTCACCTGGACTACTGTCCTGCAGGATGATGGCCAGGAAAAAGTCCTGGGAGAACATGGCGCTGGTTCCCAGCCCCTCCTGCCTCCACCCTCCCTCCTCACAGCCCCTCCAGCCCAGCCAGCTGGGCTCACAGCCTGGTGCTGGGCTGCAGAGAAAAGCTCATCCCACCCCCTTCTCACCAGGGCAGAGCGCCTGCCAGGCAAGATCCTCCCCCGCCTGGCGCTCACCAAGGAGGGGCCAGGACCACCATGGGAGGGGACCTCCTTGGGGTGGGGATGGAGGGTCCTCATAAGACCCCAGCCCATCCTGCTTACATCTCTTCTTTCTAATCCTGGCTCCCCTCCCCCAATCCTGAATCTCCATCCCACCCCGCAGCAGCAGCAGCAGTCGCCACAGCACCACAGTTAAACCTAGTCTTGGGGACACCAGGAAGCTCAACCCCTCGGGAATACCCCAGCCACCTGGGGCCCTGCAAAGCCTGTAGCTCTCAGAACAAAAAGGGTGTGGCTTCAGGGCTCCCAGAGCTCCCTCCCGGGCCCAGAACCTGCCCGGCAGTTTGAGGCCAAAAGTGGGCCTTAAGGGCTGGGCCCTAGCAAGCTTGAGGTTGGGCTTGGGGCTTCCCATCACAGCCCCCCTCACCTGCCAGGGCCCAGCTAGGCTGCAGCGTCTCCTCGGCAACCGCAGCACCAGGATGGCTGGGAGCGCCCAGACTGCTGACGTGCTTCCCGTTACCAAGGAAACCAGGAATCCTGACTGGTCCAAGAGGCAGCAATGAGGATACAGGCAGTCCCCAGACCCAGGCTGCTGGGCAACCGGGCACAGAGAGACTGGGAGCAGGCGCGGATACCCAAGGTGGATGCACACCTAATGTGAGAGTCATTTATTTGAGCAAGATATCTCACCACCCTCAGCTTCCAAGTGAGGTGGGTTCACAGAGGAGGGGCTCTTCTTGCCTGTCCAGCCTTCTAGGTAGCCATTACCACCTCTTCTCCCTCCACCCTCCCTTCTCCTGAGGCCCCAGGGAATTAGAATGCCTGCTCTTCCCCAGGAGCCCTCCATCATCTTCAGGGTTCTCCTATCAAACCTCTCAGGAACACCAACACCCAGGGCAACCATACCTTACACAGCCACACCCTTCTTCATGAAGGGTCATACACCTTTTGAATCTGGAGACCAATTCACCATCTTCTGACTGAGTCACACATACCAATCCATCTGCCATCCCTGGTAGCCTGTACCTTCCTGCTTCAAAGAGCTTCATCCTTCCGATCTGTCCTGGAGGGGCCGCTCTCCCCCCTTTGACCATCTGGGAGGCCCTTCTGGAGCCTGGCACATCTCCCTCCAAGCACAGCCCCACTCAGGCCTTTGCTGCCACATGCACACATTTTTTTCAGGAATCTTCACTCCTGCATCGACTCATTCAGGCACTCACGCACAAATTCAAAGGTTTGTGTTCGTTCATTCATTCATCCATGTACACCTTCATGGTGAAACCAGGAGTGGCCGTTTACTCAGAAGTCAATGAATCGCATAATGTTCTCTCCTCTTCTCCACTCCCATGTCACTACAGTAGTCCAAGCTACTACCTGGAATTCTTACCCAGATCACTGCAACAGCCTCACAGGTGGGCTCCCTCCTCCAACCTCATCTCCACCAATCTGGGCTGCACACTACAACCCAAAATTGATTGTTCCAAAATGCTAAACTACTCTCCACTTTAATATTCCTAATTGTTTTCTCTTGCCCTCAGGATAGAACTTAAACTTCTAGGGTTTGGGTGCTGTTATGAGCCCCTAGCCTCTGCCCCTCAGCCTTATCTCTGATCACCCCCGCTCCCTCCTTGTCTCTCTCTCTCCCTGCTTGGCAAGCCCCTCATCCTTTCCAAGTCCAGCCTCCCTCCCTCAATCTTCACCTGGCTATGACCCACTCCTCCTTCAGGCATCCATGTAAAGGTCACTTCTCAAAACTGACCCACCCCTTTCCCCCCACCATGCACATAGGCAGGGCTGAGTGCCCCTCCTGCATCTCTCCCATCCCAGTGCTCACCATGCTGATCAGAACTGCCTGTTTATCTTTGTCTCCCCCACTAGACTGTGAGTACCATAAGGGCAGGTCCCTTGTAGAATGCATTCTCAACATCTAGGACAAGGCCTGGTGCCGAGTATGAACCCAACACAGGCAATAAAGTTCTTTTGCTCATTCATTTACCATTCATTCATTCATTTATTCATGCACTTATGCATTCAATCAACAACTTTGTGGAGATCCTAAGATGGGAAGGAGAAAATAGTTTTGTTCAATTCTACTCCATTCCTTCAGGAGTCCAGACTTCCTCTGTGGCCTTCATGGTCATAGTACCACAATTACAAAAGAGTAAGCAGTGACTCAGCCCCTTCCTTAGGCTGGCCCCACACCACTCACTACTTTGAACTTCCACAGTCTCCACCAGAGCTTGATCCTTGACCATTCTCTCTCACTGAGGTTGATGCCCGTGTCCAGCATACCCTTCCCACTCCTTCAGCAGTTCTATCCTCCTTCTCCCAGAAGACTCACAAGGGCAGCTACTGCAGTGACCATCCTAGCAGCCCCTGAGCAATCAGGCCTCTGACTCATACCCACCGCTAGGGCAGGGGCTGCAAACCAGCAGCCTATAGACCGATACAAGACTCAGATTTGGTGGGGCCTGCATGGTGCTTTTAAAAAAAAAGAATTGGGGGGGGCCACCTGGGTGGCTCAGTCGGTTAAGTATCTGACTTCAGCTCAGGTCATGATCTCACAGCTCAGGAGTTTGAGCCCCACGTCAGGATCTGTGCTGACAGCTCAGAGCCTGGAGCCTGCTTCAGATTCTGTGTCTCCCTCTCTCTCTCTGCCTCTTCCCTGCTCACACTCTCTCTCTCTCAAAAATAAATAAACATTAAAATAAAAATTAAAAAAAAAAAGAAACTGGAATATTTCACATCAATGTCCAGTTTTCCATTTACCTAGAAAAGTTGCATGAACTGGCTCCACTGCAACTACATTTCCCCCCACCAACCCTATAAAAAAGCTAGAGTGGAGTAGCAGCTGCTCCCTTTAAAGGGGATCCAAGCAATGACCATCGAAGGCCACTAACATCACAAAAAGAGAGGCAATCAGACTTTGTCTTTGATAGAAGTACTCAATACCACCTATGAAATGTTCTTGCAAAAGCAAAACACAAAAAACCTCTCAAATCTGAGTCTGATCAAGGCTCTGGAACTCACTCCCAAATCTACAGGAAATCTAGGGGAAGAGAAACCTGTTCAACACTGCCACAGCGAGAGCGTCTGCAAATCCAGACCATGGAAAATCCAGGACAAAAAACACAGTGTCTCCAATTTAAAATGACAGCAACAACAACAACAACAACAACAACCTGCAAGCAAAAATAGAGGACAGACAGAGGAATGAAACAACAATATACAGATCCAAAAGAAAATTTAAGATACACATCCACCGCTGAAAGGTCTGGGACTCTTTGGTTATTGATTCAAACAATCAAAACTTTTTTAAATAGCTGAGTTGGGGGTCATAATTAAACAACTGGGAAATTATAAACATTAACTGGATATTTGATAATATTAAGGAATTATTGTTAAAATTTTGTGTTCATGACAATAATGTTGTAGATCTTTTTAAGAGTTTTGTTTTTTGGAAATGCATGGGTAAACACTTTTGGGCTTGAGTGTTTGCTTCAAAATAACCTAGGCTAGGGCCCAGGAGGAGGTGGGGGTATAGATGCACCAAGATTAGTCATGTGTTGATAATTGTTGAAACTGGGTCATGGGTAAATTGGGCTCATTATTCTATTCTCTCGACTTCTGTAGATGTTTGAAAACGTCTGTAACAAGTTTTTTGAAAGGGGATGGTGTACTGCCCTTTGCTCACCTCCATGAACTGCATGTCCCCCTGCAAAGGCTCTACCATTTGGGGCCTGGTATGGTGCCTGCTGCCAGGCACACACAAGAGTCTTTCCTGATCTTTACTTACACCCCAGCCCACAGAAGTCCAGGATAGTAGCTACAGCCCGTTATCTCTGTCCTTTGTTCCTCAGCCCTGTGTGCATCTCTATGTGACATGAGCAAATATGGAGACTCAATTTATTTAAATAGAACACATTTAATGATCAATCTTTGGAGTCCTAATATCTATTTTCTCCCCCCACCCACCCTACAAAGAAGAATATGTTTATTCTTCCTTTACTTCCTAACTTTTAGTCAATATTCCATTCCTGATACAAAGGATACAAAATGGTACCCTTGCAATGCCCAGAGGGGTCTCTGCACATAATCCCCAACCTCAGTCTTTCCAAATAGACCTCTGTGGGGAGGTGCTGCTGCTGCCTCCAGACCCGGCCTGTTAAAACCTGTTTCAAGCGCACCTGGTTCATCGTGCTGTGTGCATCAGTGGCAGGGTATGCAGGGCCAAGAGCTCAGGTCTAGACTCGGTTCTACAGTGATCCCAGACTGTCTGTGACTTTAGGAAAGCTACTTAACCTCTCCAGGCCTCCTTTTTTTGTCATCTGTAGTACAGGCATCATAACACTCTCTACCTCACAACATTACTGTGAAGATTAAATATGATAATGCTGAGCACAGGGCAGTACCTGGTAAGTACTCCATAAACACACCTAGTTTACCATCCATCAGGGTTTGCATGACGGGAGGATCTATCAACTTGTGCAAGCACTCTGAATGCAGGAATGGTTTCATTCAGGAAAACCTGGCTGGATATGGTCTGCTGAGGACTGAGGACATGTGCTCTGTGATTCATGCCCAGGCTGGCCCTGGCCTCTATTGCCCTCCCATATTCCCCAAGTTAAGCTCCATTAAGGTACCTGTGTCCTCCGGGGAGCCATAGGAGGGGCTGCCCTGGGATAAGGTAGCCCAGCTTGAGTCCTCATCACTGGCTGCACTGTTCCGCATGCCAAACAGGAGGCTGGCACTCTTGCTGTGCTCTCGGGGACCGTCGGCAAGGGCCTGGGGTCTGGGGGGCATCTCCGCACTCTCCGGGGGCTCGGGCAGCCCTTGGGGAGAAGACAAGTCCTCCTCCTCCTCCTCCTCATCCTCTTCCTCATCATCCTCCTCGGCCTCCCCTGCTGCCTTCTCCTCTCCTTCATCTGGCCCCTGCTCTTGGGTGCTGATGATCAGACCAGATCCTCGGAGCCCTCTGTTGGCTGCATTGTGGGCGGAGAGCTCCAGCTCTGAGTACAGGTGCATCAGGCCTTTGGGGCCCAAGGGTGCCATCTCAGGCTCCTGACTGGCCTCCTCTGCCAGGGTCAAGGTCACGTTGCGGTTCTGGTCACGATGGGCCGTGGCAGCCCGCCGGAGCTGGTTCTGGCCCTCTTTTAGCCACTTGGCATTGGCAGGGCCTGGCTCAGGCCCACCACCCTCCCCCATGGCACTGCGCAGGTCCTTGGGTCCCACAGCCGTGGCCTGCAACTTGGAGTTGAGCAGCTGGTTGTGGGCAGCGTGCAGGGGCAGGGGTAGGCTCAGGGCGGGGCCTCCGTGGCTGTTGGCATTAATGGCCGACTGGCTCAGTGACGATGGAACAGACATGGCCTTGGCAGATCCTGCGGGGTGGGGAGAGGAGACCATGTTCAGCCTCCAGGTCTGGATAGCAGCACCCTTGCTTCTGCCCGGGGCTGTGCTCTGCACCTCCTCATCTCCCTTACACACAACAGGCCAGCACCCACCACTCCATGTCCTGTGAGCTATTTTCCCATGACAACAACTAGGCCCAACTGCTGTCCCCCTTCACCATCACCTGCTCAACCCTATCTATCTCCACCAAAGGCTGGGGCCAGGCCCCACAGTCCACTCCGGCCCCAAATCCCCAGCCCTGAGCTTTCTGGGACAGTACAGCCAGACCCTGCTCTGCCCTCGCTCCCAACACCAGAGCCTCCACACAATGGCTCTCTGTGCATCCCCACCCCCAGCTTATCCGACCGGTGCTTACTGTGCCAGGGACCCAGCTGGCGTGGGACTGGCTCATGTGTTCTGGACACTGGACACTAACTGCTCCCTTCCTCCTGCCACGTTGCTATCCACAGCCCCCTACTGTGAGCTCCCCAGGCTGTGTTCCCATTGTTGTTAAATCACTGGGCTCAACCAGCCCTGAAACCCACCCCTACTAGGGGCTGTAAGAATAGGAGAGAATGAGCTGCAGAGCCATCCCTCAAGGGCATGGACCTAGGAAGGAAGGTCACAGAGGAAGGACCTTCAGTTCCAATCCATGGCTCCTTTGGCCAGTTGAAGCTACATTTTGATGACTGTTTCTATAAAGTGTCTCACCATGGGCATTACTCCATCTGCCAGCTCCTATAATGCCCCATGCCTGGATCATTGCAGGGGCTTTTGACCTATACTCTTCAGCCCTTCAGGTCTTGATCCAACTGTCACCTTCTCAGTGGCACTTTCCCTGATACCCTTTTAAAACTGAATCCCGCCACCAATCCCTCTCTCAGCTACACCCAAGCCTTCCCTGGTGCCTAGACTGTCAAGCTATTAATCAACATTATTATTATTATCTGTTTTATGATTGTCTCCTCATGACTATAATTTCAGTTCCATGGTGGAGGATTTTGTCTTTTTTTTTTTTTCAGAGCTTAACACACTCTTGGCACAGAATAAGAATTCAATAAATATTTGTTGAATGAATGTATAACTCCACCCTCCCATCTCCTAAAGGCCCCATTTTATCATCTCCTCTCCCAGTTTCAGAAAGCACACTTTGGCCATGTTACTGTGTCTCAACAGTGCCCCAACTAAACCCCATCTGCCCTTCAGGTGAGGGGATCTCCTGTTCCACAGTGACAGCACCCACTTCCTATCCCCTTGGACCCCATCTCCTTACAAGCCCTTTGTGGACCACCTTCTCTGCCTACCTATCCTTCCAGCCACATAGCCCAACAATCCCACCATCAAGGCCACACCCTCCCCTCCGCATCTCCCTGACCTTCTATTGCTCTGCTGCTCTCCTTCACTGACCCCCCCACTATAAAGCACTTACTCCCTGGAGCCTCCCTGCCACCACCTCACAGGTCATTCTCCCTGACCAACTACTACCCAATTCTCTCTCATCCTGGCCCTCTTAGCTCCTACTGTGTCACCCTTCCCCCTCCCTGATACCCTCTCTTGGAGTCCTCTCTTCCTACTTGACCCTTCCCCCCAGCACAGCTCTCCCTCACTTTCTGCCCCTCAACACACACCTCTCTCTCTGACTCCTACTGTATGGCTCTTTCTCCCTGATTTCTCACCTGAGAGTTCTCTCTCCCCCTGGCCCCACTGGGGAGTTCTTTCCCCCAGAACCTCTGGCCCCGGGTCTCTCTGCACCTCAGTGCAGCTCTGAGCCCTGAGCCAAGGCTGCTGGTGAGGTGCTTTTGGCTGCCTGAGCAACATTCTGCTGTCTCTCAGGCGCAGTGCGCGGTCCTGAGGCAGGAGCCATAGTCCACCCTTCCATCCTGCCCAGCTCCTCTGCCCCTAGGACAATGCTGTGTATATGTCTGTGGCATAGATGAAAACATGTTGTCTGTGTATCTGCCTCACATGTAACTGCTGGCTGCTTGGTGTGGCTCCACTTGGGCAATAAGCAAACTCACGGTCACTGGTATAAATGAGAAAAATAAATGGCTCTGCCGCTACCTAGAACCACAGTAATCTTCCAAAAATGGAAACCAGATTGTGTCACTCCTCAGTTGGAAAACTTAGATGGCTCACTGCTGCCTTCAGGATAAAGTCTGTGCTCATTAGCAGGACACCAAGAGCCTACCTGAGCCAATCCCTATGACCTCTCAGACCTCCTCCCCCTTTCCTCCTTCTTTCACACCTTACACTCCACCCTCACAAAGTATGGCAGATTCCGGAATTGGTCGTACCCTCACAACTCTGGCTCTTTGTTTATAGTGCTCCCTCAGCATGAAATCCTACATCCCCATGTGAGAATCTCTGCTCATGTTTCAAAAGTTGGCTCAGCAGTCAAGGCCCCTAAGCAGTGAGCCTTTCTGGTTCAGTCCTCTCTCCTCATGCTCAGGAGACTGTTCCCTCCTCTGTCTCACGACACCCAGTGCCCCAGTGAAGTCTTATTCAACTTCCCATTACCAAGGAGTGTGTGCTGTGCGTCTATGACAGAGTGGGCCCTTGGTGTGGATGGAAGGGAAAGATGGAGGAGACAGATATGGGAAGAAAGGAATTAGGAGGCTCAGAACTAGTGGCAACAGACATTGAGACAGGTTTGTGTGGTCCTGTGGGCTGGGGATGGGCAATAGGAGTGTTAGGTAAGGTGCTGGAGAATGATGAAGGCAGGAATCCCAGAGCAGCAAGGACCGAGATCTAGGGAAAAAGGGAGGGATGGAGTTAGCATAAACCAACATCCTGGCTTGAGTCTGTTCAATAGTCGGATCTCCATGAGTTCCAGGATGTAGAAGACCCCATGACTCTGGCAAACTCAGAGGATGATGGAGATGATGAGCCCTTCTCTGAAGCAGCAGTATATGGCTCCAGGTTTCTAAGAGGTCAGGATGGGACCAATCTCCTTAGCACTTGGAGGTGTGATCTGGGATGGGCACATATACTGTGAGGCTGAGACGGTGAAGAGCCAGCTCGACTCCAGGGCATCCCTGTCCCTCCGGTCACCAGGGCAGAAAGTACTGGGGGAGAAATGAGGCAGCTCTGTTGCCAACAAATACTGAAGCCTGAGCACCTGGTTCAAGACACTGTGTGGTACCATCACCTAACTTTTTGAGGTCAAAGGATGACTAGTATCTTTAAGAAGGGGCACATGCCAGCTTCTCCCTTCTCCTTGGGAGTCCCTGATCCCTCTCAAAGGATGGAAAGATCCACATGGATTCTGGCTCAAGGCAAGGAGCTAAAAGAGTGGCCACTAAGCCTGAAGGAGCTGATATCAGACCACAGGGGTAGGGGTGAGTCCTATTCAAAGTCAAGAGTCCTCTAGCCTGCCAGCTTACTATTTGTGAGGCACTGTAGTAGTCATGGGGAAGAGTGATGAATTATAAAGAAATGGTTTCTCCCCAGTGATGTACACAATCTAGCAGTGTAGTGCCAGTGTCTAGAACAGTCCCTGGCACCAATAAGCATTCCCTATTTGTTGAATAAATGATGGCGTATTGTGATGGGGGAGGAACAGGACACTACAGGAGTGTGAGGCTTATTCCAGTCTAGACATCGGCAAAGACCAACTTGGTGAAGGGACTTTTTTTTTTTTTGAGTAAACTTCACACCCAGCATGGAACCCAATGCAGGGCTTGAACTCGACCCTGAAATCAAGACCTGAGCTGAGATCAAGAGTCAAATGCTTAACTGACTTAGCCACCCAGGCGCCCCAAGGAAGGGACCTTTAAGTTGAGACAAAAACACAACTCTCCTTGGACCACCCCCTGTACCACCCCTCCCTGCCAGCGGAAGACCTCCCACTCCTCCTTCACAGAGGAAATGGAAGCCAGCAGTTGGAGAATGTCCAGAAACACAAATTTGCTGACTTCAGCACCTACCCCTTTCTCCTTCTTCCTAAGACCAACTGCTTCATCTGTTACTTGGCTCCTTCCTTTCATGCCTTTCCAGGAATTTTCTACCACTGTTTATCCATTTTTTCTTCTATATAATCAACCTCTCCTTCTCAATGGGATCCACTATCTCCCAACTTAAAAACAGAATGTTTCTTGACAGATGCTCCTCCAGCACCACTAGCTGCTCTCTCTCCCCAGCTTAAGCAAACTTCTTGAAAGAGCTGTCTTTACTCACTGTTGCCATTTCCTCACCTTACACTCACTGCTCAGCCGTCTCCAACCCTGCCTGCATTCCCAGCACACCTCGGTAACACCTGCCAAGGTCAACAGGACCCTGTGTCATCTAATCCAACCCACACAACCTCTTGGTTGTACTCTCAACACCACTCAACACCCTGCCCCTCATCCAACCTTCATCCATGGCTCTCCTCCATGGCTTCCCCACACTACATCTCCTGGTTTTCTTCCTACACTCTAGTTCCTGTCCTGTGGCTCCTTAGCCCCCTATGCTGGCTCATCTTCCTTTACCAACTGTCACACACTAGGGTTTCTCATGGCTTGTTCTTATGCCCTTTATTCTTTCTCACCAAATATTCAATGTATTTATTCATGCCCATAGCTTCAGATGCCACCTATACACTGCTCATTTCCAAATTTACATCTCCATTTCAGACCCTTCATCTGAGCTCCACAACATGTACATTCAACTTCCTACTCAACATCTCCATCTGATGTCTCAAAGGCCTCTCAGACAAACATGCCTGCTTAAGCTTCTCTCTCCCACACCTTAACTAGTCTTCCTTTAGGATCCTGGCTCATGGAGTGATATAACCACCCTTCCGGTTGTGCAGCAGGGGTACCATCCTTGACACTAACTTCTCCCTCACTCCCCACATTCCATCCATCCCCAGATACTGATAATTTTCTCTCTGAGGAAAATTTCTGGATTTCATCTACTCTCCACATCCACTACCATCACAATCTGTACCAAGGACAAAGACCTTAAGATCATAATTATTAACAAGACCTAAATTG